TGTATACACTCAGCTATATACCTCATGGTGAAAAAAACATGTGGTATGATTTATCTGGCTAAAAGAACTGGTTAAGTCTGAAATTTATCAGCCTCCTTATGTGGTTCGCCATACACTGCACAAATTAATTATACCAGCATAAAAGATGTGGCGGCACAGGGCAGAGAACAAGGAACTGGTAGTGCCACTTTTGATAGCAATAGTTGTACTATTTTGCTGCTTGAGGAATTAGCAAGTCCCTGAACCCAAATACCTGTACTTTAAAGACTTTCTTGGTCTCCTGCATCAGTTACTTTACAAGTAAAACCAGGGGAGTGTGTGGAAGCTCTCAAAGACCAATGCTCAAAGGTGGCATGCACCCATGTAACCTAAAGGGCATCTGGACCAATTCATACGTCAAGAGCATTTTGGAAAAGTTTCTGGTGTTGCATCTCATTGACTTATGACAAGCAACAGAACAGCTGAATGTAAGTTGCTTGTATGTAGTACAAATATTTTTTTGTGTCTAAATGGGCACTTTAAAAGCGTTATCTTCAATGTGAAGGATTAATTTATTTCTAGCATGATCTCAGACACCATCAAGAATGGCAGTCATCACACCAAACTGGGTCAGGCTGGGATGGAGTTAACTTTCCTCATAGCAGCCCATCTGGTGCTGTGCTTTGGGTATGTGCCTAGAACAGTGTTGATAACACACCAGCATTTCGGCTGTTGCTGAACCCTGCCTGCACAGTGTTGGAGCTTTCTCACTTCTTCCCCTGGAGATGGGCAAAGAGGTTGAGAGCAGACAGAGCCAGGACAGCTGACCCAAACCGACCAGAGGGATATTCCATACCATGTGCCGTTCTGCTCAGCAATAAAAGCTCAGGGAAAGGAGGAGAAAGCAGGGACATTCATGGTCATGGTGTTTATCTTTCCAAGGAACCTGTGTGGAATCCTTGCTTCCAGGAAGTGCCTGGACATCTGCCTGCCAATGGGCAGTAGTGAATGAAATCCTCTTTGTACCTTGCTTGTGGGAACAGCATTTGCCTTCCCTGATAAATTGTCATTGTCTCAATCCATGAGCCTTCTTGCCTTCCTTCTATTTTCTCCCCATCCCATGAGAGAGGGGAGTGGGCGAGGGGCTGGGTGGGTGCTTGGCTGCTGGCTGGGGTCAACCACACCACACACAGAGAGGAAACAAGTGACCACCATTTGCTGAACTGCTAGCCTGGGCAAAAAATTAAGCTTTACACAATGGGGCTCTGCTGTTAGTTGGTTAATAACAAGATACATATGTAGAAATAGCCTAAGAACTAATATTCAGGTAGGGTACATGTAGCTTGTATAATCAAAATATATACTATAATCGAATTCCTTCAAAACATAGCCCATCTAGATGACTTCATTTATTTGAATTACATGGACAGTTTGAAATATATATTTGATTCGATTGTGAAATTCATTTTGGATGAGGCGAAGTGTGACATCCTACAACATATTTTTTGTTTGCAATTCGTCAGAAAATTCAATTTGTGCCAAAGATATAGTGATTCAACATGAAAAAATAGCACACATTCTTTAAAAAATGTTTAAGATTAAAAACCCCACTTAAATGAAAAATGAAATTCAAGCTTAATTTATATTGAGGCCTGCACTGCAAGAACATCACTTAATTGAATAGCAGACATTATCAAGTCCCACTAAACATGAAGCACAATTCATCTTTTAACACCATAAAAAAAGCATTTGAAAGCATCTTTAAATCCAGTATAATAGCATACATATATGAAATCTGTTAAGTGCTCAGTTATGTATCTGTGTCTCTTATCACCTTATTGATGCTCATATACAGTCATGTCAACCCTGGAGCTGATATAGGTACATAAGTGCACGTTGAGAACCAAGGGTTAGGATTTCCTGCTTTAATTTCAGCCACCATAGAGCAGCTCATGGAATTTTTCCTATAAGAACAAGCACTAACCTCTGCCATGATTCTTTCACACAGATGGAGACGGCGCCAGCCACTGACTAGAAGTGTTCAGAAAACAGGCGACAGATTTGAAAATATATTTAAGATATTTAGCCAGCCACAGACAAAATTGTGTTACCAGCCACTTTTCTGCAGGCCACAGACCAAACTTCAAGTTGCATCTGTACAAGAATATTGACTGAGTCTGAGAAATAGTTAACACATTTCCTAAACAAGGCTGAGGAATCATTAATGCATTTCCTAATCAAATGATTTCTCCTGCTCCCAGCCCACTTAATTGCCTTTTTACAATCACATTTGTAACATGAATCAATTCTCAGATGCACTTTTAAAATTTCACTAACCTCTTCAGCATTGTTGTTTCTGTTGTCTAACAAGGAACAGTTTGAGAAGAACATAGATTTTACCTACAGAAATTCAGTCCTGAACTTGGTAAGGCTCCATTTGCGTCACACTAGGACACACGAATCCTGCTAGCAGTACCAAAACTTGTTCCCGGTCCAAATTCTGAATGCTGACTCATTTACAATAAAATCTTTTTTCAAGTTAGGCAAGAGTCTTGTAACAGAAAACTACTTAGAAAAGTGAGGAAAAAGTGCCTCACTTGTTTTGAACTAAAACATTATCTGAAAAACTGGAAGGTAGAAGACTACTTTTTACGGCTTTCTGAGAACTTTCAGCAATGGAGCTTTGATTCAGTGCTCAAGAATATATTTGAAAGTAGTGAGGAATCTGATTCCTCACTGCTTTGGCTGACTGGGGCCGAAGAATTCAGCCAAATTCTTCGGCAGAGTAATATGCGAGGGAAAACTAGAGAGAATAATTGAAGAGGCACCACCAGCATCTTGGATTTGTCCACTAGAAAAATGCAAATGTTTTAAGAAAAAGCTTGTTAGTGATGAAACTGGGCTTGTTAAACATTACTAATGACAATGAATAGAAAACCTCCACACCTGACACGGGTTTGAAGGCCACTGGCTACAGTGTTCACTGGGTGCAAACACAGGCATTATAGAAGGATAGGCAGACATTTGCTAAAAGTATTCAATATAACTGAAGCATTAAGTGATTACTATGGGTAACTTAGTATCACATCCTTTTATAGTTTTTTTTTTTTTAACCTCCCAGCATCAAAGCCACTCTATAAACATTCACATTGGTCCAAACTTCCAAAAAGCTTTAGGTGATTCTCCTTTTTGTAAGCTATCCTCTTGCCCTCAAACAGAAGAAAAAGACCTCAAAAAGTACTTTCAAAACAAATAAAATTGCCTGAACAGGCAAAATAAGAGAAGTCTCTCTTAAGGAGAAGCCTACATAAACGTAATTTTTACCTTGGAACAGGTAACACTAGAATACTGCTACAATTGAAAAGCATGAAGTTTTAAATAGTCAGCCCCAAAAGATAATTGTCTTCAAGGCAAGCATTAAAAAAAAAAAATACACCCCAAAAAAACAGGTTTGCAGGAACTAAACAAGTATTGCCTCTTTTATAGCCTGACAACTGTAACCAAAAATGTATTCAGTTAATCCATATGTTAATTCTAAGCAATCTAAATCATTCACATACAAAAGAAATTCACATATCCAGAACCTCCAACCCATGGCATTTTTTCAGCCATCATGATCCTGATTAAGGCCTCTCACAGTGTTCGTAGTCTCAGCTTAGACTAAATCCATCCCTAACAATCAGGAATAGTTTGGTGGAGGATGAGGTTCCTCTTGATTGCAACTCTTTGCAAGGCTGCCTGTCAACAGGAAGGAAACTACAGATAATGAACACACCGAGGGGCATTTGATCTTAGTGTTGGGAAGCAGAGCAAGCTTAACACCACCAAGCCTTCCTGACTGTTGATTCAGGAGCAACCTTCTCATCCTTGACATCTGAGTGCTTAATACAAAGGGAGAAGATCAACCATTCCACCCAAAAAGGAAAGGCAAACTTCACTTTAAGGGCTGGCAGTAGTTCTTAGCAGCCATAGCTATAATCCTAAGAAATGACAGAATTCCACTTAAATACGCTTTTCCTAAACATCTGAATACTCATGTGCAGTCAATGATGATTTTCTTCAAGATCTGAATGTTGCATGTAATTTTTTTGTGGCTGCATGCCCTCAATAATCAAGAACCATGCATAGTTAAATGACAGATTTGCCCATTACATTTCTCGGTTTTAGGCGTTTCCCTCCCCCATTCCCTAGTTTCATTTTAACACAATTTTTGACAAAAACATTTTGCAAGTACACTTTGAAGTGAACTAGGTGCTCCAAAAATACTGAAACTAACATGCTTAGTCTATTTGAACCAAAGTGTTGATTATATAAGTTCTAATGCCTTTATGTATTCTGTGCCACGGTAAATGAACTGCCAAGAAGCACAATGCTCAACAATGAACAAAGGCGTGATGCTTCACAGTAATTTCCTGGACAGGAAATGAAAGGCTATAGAAACACTGAGCTGTGAATCCTTGACTTTCACCACGTAAGACTCTTCTTATTAACTGATGAGAGATAGCACATTGACAATATTAAAAACAAAACCTATACTGATTCAGCTCTCCAGTGTTTGTTCACAACTGGTGAGAGAAGTTTAATCGGGTCTCAAATTATTGTAACAGCTTGATTTATCTATTAAAGCCTTTTTGTATTACTTGTATTTGCTTTAGATGGCACAAATAACATTTGTAAAAGTAAACTGCTCCATAAGAAAAGAAAGCTCTGCCATATCCCACACATCAACCGCCTAGAGATGAAAGGCATGTTCTACTCTGTAATAAACAGATATTCCCACTGCTCTTCATTACTCACAAAATATATAATACCCACAGACTAACACTTGTCAGCTATCCCCTCTATCTCATGCTCTTATATCAACAACCAGACAACTAGATTTTTTCTCTAAATATGATTTAATTAAAAACACTAAATCAGCTTTGATTTTTATTTTATGTATGTACAATAGTTACCAAATAAGGAATACACTGAATCAGTTATGTTAAATTTCACATAACATCACAGGACATCAGCATGGCATGGAATAAACTCACACTGCCTTTTGCATATACAAAAATGCATTAATGTTAATTCTGCTTACTATTCTGGTTTGTGGTTTGCTGGGGTATTTTTATAACCTGCTTATTAATTCTCCAAATAATCTTGCCATAAAAACAGTGTAATTAATTGATCAGTTAATATATTAGCAAAGATAAACATTAGTAAAGTTTGCAAGAAATCAATTGCAAAATTACCTCAAGTGTAGGACTGAATGTATTCACAAGAAAGTTACTTTCAGTTAGAAAAGTTCTGAAAAAGAGCCCAAGTTGGAGCTGTGCATTAGTTTGGTCAAACTGATTCATATGAATGAACAGTCAAGTTTATTCAGATATTGAAAATATGACTATCCTTTTTAGTATTCGCAAACATTTGTGTATATAGTGTGTGTATGTGCGTAAATATATATATGCATATATAAAGTGAAGATATGTTAATGTAAAAATATACTGTTCATCCACTCCCAATTACACAAAATTCAGTATTTGGACATTAAACTGTGTAAGTATAAATGTCCATTTCAAATCTACATTCAACCAGCAACAAATACTTAGAAGTATTTTTGTAAACATTTGAGATAGGGAAAACCCATTCATTTACAAAACAATCCTTCTTTAACACATCAGCATCTCTTCCACTTGAAAATTTTGTACAGCAGCTTCAGCTGGCCTATTGTGAATCTGCTCAAATCAAAGAGCTCATGCTGTCTTAGATCAATACGTGTGAAAGCTCAGCAAATGCAGAATTTTCGAATTCATTCTTAATCACCATCCATTTCCAGTTCACCAGCAAAAAGAAAATGCACTTGGCTACAAAAATATTAAGGAATGTTATTGAAAACAAAAGGCTATTTTGGTAGAAGAAACTACAAAAATAGTTGAGTCATGTTGTAAAGCTTTAATGCAAGAGCATTACAGTACAGATTTTCTTTCCAACCTTAAAGCTTAATCAACACCAAATTTAAATATCCATCTCTCAAGTGCTTGAAAAAAAACGTGCTCAGGAAAAGTCTTTCTTCAGTTTAACCAACTGTAATTACGCAGGTGCCAGGCTCTGCGTCTCAGACATCTGTTGAGTGCTGTCTCTTGTTCCATTGGCAGCAATTACAGGTGTTGAGCTACTCTGATATGATGATGTTGGACAACTCAACACAGCTCCACTTTCATCCTCTCCAGTATCTGAATCTGGTGTTACAGAACTGCTTTCTATCCCCAGGATCTCACTAACTGCTTGAGGCAATTCCTAGAAAGGAAGGAGGAGGGGGGGAAAAAAAAAATTAAACCTCACTGAAATTAAATTAAATTCACAGAAGTTAACAGCAAGGTCCCCCCCAGTCCATCCCCCAGCCCCAGTAAGTAATCATTCATTTGAATTTAGCTGCACTGAAAGCATCTCTCTCAGCATTAGTTCCATTAAAGCTACCATTTTCTGTATCTGCTTTTTGAAAAGATAGCAAAGGGAACAGGCTCAGGAATCAATTCCTGATTAATAATATAATCTTCATTACAAAAATAGGAGTCTAAATAACTATTATAATTACACTTCATGTTATTGAAATTAGTTTTATTGAGTGAACCATTAGTTTCTGCCTAGTAAGTCTGGTATGCTTTCAGTGCAATGCACCTTTCACCTCATTTTTCTTGAGCACACTGAACATCAAATTACTTGTACTGAGGTTATCTAGTAAAGAGTTAAGAAATCATAACCAAAAGGCACAATCCAGCTTTCCCCCAGTGAACAATATTACTCTATAAAATTAATCACTCTTGCTTACATACTTTCAGAATACAGATGCTGTATAGATACAGCACATCCTTTATCATACCCAGGCATTTAGTAACTCATACATGTACACCTACAGCCAACTACATACTTTTACTGTCTATAAATGCTCACAGTAGATGTATTCAAAATATCATTACCTTGCAATTCATCATCTGCACAGAAATTGCTTCTGCTTTGCAGAGTATATATTCCACATCAATTTTCATAGACAGTTCATTGATATGCTAAAAATACATTAAAAGAATTTAAAGTGTGATAAATAGTAAATATGCTTTATTGTAAAATACACTAATACTGTACTGCACTGCTAATAAGTATCACCTTATAAGCTTGCCCTTAAGCCACGAAACGCTAAACATACTCTATCTTTGACAAATGGGTCCTGAAAGATGTAGTATGCCACAGCTGGCTTTCACCAGTATCCAAGATCTGCAAGACGAATCCATGGTAATTCTAAATGTGACAAACTACCTAGCCCTTCTAGATACCCCCCCAGCTCACATTTTCAAAGAGATAGCAAGTAAGATTTTAGAAGAAAAAGCAAAAATTAACATTAAACATACTAAGCAGTAGGTTAAGGGGGAGAACCTTTTTCTGTCTGTTAGTGATCTTATCACTAAACACAGACATCAAATAAACCATTTTGAAAGCGTGGAGGATAGACATTCAGTTCACATTTAACCCCTCAGAAGATAGTATGCACCTTTTCCTCCCCCCGACATGAAATATGAACATACTGCATTAACTCCAAAAGGTTAATTAATATTTAAATAATGCATAAGACTTCAGTACCTTTAATATTTCATTAAAGCCATAGTGCTTGTCCATTATTTGCTGTTTTTCCGATTCTAAGATAGCACAACAAAGGAGAAGATGAAAATTCTGGCAAGGCAATTCCGTCCACATGACCTGTTAAAATATGAAAACCATTTTTGAAATGCTTATGCTTTTCCTCCAAAAAGAAAAGCAGTTCTTGGGAAGTAAGTAAGCCCTCAAGCCAAGTGGCTTAACTAACAATAAGCTATTTTTGAAGACAACTAAGTATTTGTACAATTATTTGAAATCTTTCTTTTGGCCAATTAGGGACAACTGCAAATTTGAGCACCAAATGCTTACCTGGTTCTTTAAGACTTCTGTGTCTACCAGGTTGTCCACTATAATACTATTAAGCTGCCTGAGCTTGCAGTCTTGTAAATGTGCGTGTTCTGCCTCAGATCACGTGAAATTCTCCTACTCAAAGTTACTAGATATGCAGAAGTAATTAAAACTAACAAATTATTTGCGTGACCGTGTGTCTACATTAAGTGTGAATTGGTAGAAGTTTGTCATGCTCAGCAAATCCTCCAAAAGGTTCTAACAGTTATAAATAAGGTGCTGAAGTTGTCCTCAATCCCCCCACTACAAGAGCCAAAATACATGGACACGCAGGTGTTGGGGGTGGGTGGGTGTTACTTTCTGACTGCAGACACATTGGCTTTTGGTCTCCCAGAGGCCACAGATAATAATTCTTGAGTTCACTGGGACTGAAGTGTGCAACCTCAGTATTAAAACCCTATTTTAGCATGTTCGTGAGAGTCAAATCTTAAAAAAAAAGTATTTGAAGAGAATGTGTGTGGTGGGCAGAAAGCTGGAGAACAGTTTTGACAACATAAAAAAGGAAGGAAACAAAAAATTGTTTGCATAAATTACTCTGACAAACAGATAAAGGTGATTTAAGTCAATGGATTTACTCTCAAAAAAGGCAGGTAAAAAAAGCAGGCTCATGAAGATTCAGTCTTACCTCACTAGTAAAAATTCTCTTGCTTCATTATTGATAGAACACAGCCTTAAAGCTGAACAAGAGCTTACTTATACTTGAACTTATGATCATTAGTATATGTAGCCCCTAAACAGAATTGCATAAATCCAGAAGATATCCAAACCAAGTTCGCCCAAAATGAAGTGCAATTAATATTGAATGTTTCAATTAAGATTCAATTCACTCAGTCTAGAATTAAATTTTCTGTCTTTTTCAGGTATCCAGTATTCTGTTAAAGCACGCTCTCACTCCAAGAAAAGGGCTGGAATGTAAATCAGCTGATAAACAATAACAATCATACAAAAATGCCTATAGTCTACCAAACACAGTCTGTCTACACACTATTTTTTTACTCCTACTTCATAAGAAAAAGTATTGACAGCTGTACATGGATTTGGTTCAACATCGAGTTTGCACATAAAGGGAGCAAACTACTGCCTACACATTTCCAGTACACTCAAATTCTCATGGTATGCATACCATAAATCATCTACAACAACTACCAGTGAAGCAGATCAGACAACAGGCTGCCTCTTGGCATTAAATCTAAACTAGAACACAGGTGATGGAAACATGACAATGCACAATATGGGGGAAAATCGAACCAAAATATAGGTCTGTATAACGGTTACCTTTTTAGAGACTTTAACAGAATACTTAACTTTCATATCTACAATTCAATGCTATCCTACTGGGATATCTACTTTAAGAAGTATTTGTATCAAGCTGTAACTTTGGTGGAAGCTGGATCCAGCTTCAAGAGTGGAAAACACCCAAAAATACTAACAAAGATGTTTACAGAACTTCTCTCCTCTCTGAGGAAAAATTAGCAGCTCTCATCAGCTGCTAATACCAGCTGCAAAACACAACAATGAAGCTGCATGGCTATGAACAGGAAAAAAAAACTGTTGTAAGCTGGTCTTCAACTGTGACAAAGATAATACTAGCTTTTGCATAAAAACACCAACATAATTCCTTAATTAGTTTGTTTTAAAAAGGAAAATAAGATATCCCCTTTCCTATTCCATATCTCCTAGCAAACAAATGCAATAGTTGCAGTAAACATACATTATGATGTGCTAGAAGGAACCTACAAGACTTATATATCAATAGATTTCCATCATCCTCCTAAGACAGAAAAAAAATACTGAAGAGTTAGAAATATAGTGTGTTTCTGTTCTGTATGCACATGCATACACGCATTAAGGCAAAAGTGATAAAAATATGCTAGCCTGAGACTATAAACTGTAAATAAAAATACTGTTGTCAATGTAAAAAGAAAAAATTAGTTTTAAAAAAATACTGAGAAGACAACGTAACACTGAGGCAGGGAAAACAAGATGACAGGTGAATTTTTTTTTTTCCCCAAAAATCATTATCATTTTTTCCCTTGGAATAAATGAATTCTTTTGGTTTTGTACATTTTGGTTCCCTTATTTATGAATGTTATTCATAAACTTTTTACTCCTCTTCAGATAAAATACCACCTCAATACTCTACGATAGTAAATTCCTCCAACTGATGATAAAAAGCTAAAAATGATTTACTTTAGGCATTTTTAAATACCAGTCCTCCTCTTTATGTGACCCCTTTTTCATTAGCGGAAGAAGTGAATAAAAGCATCAACATTATTTTTCATTATAGTACAAATTTTATGCATCTCATTCCTGTTCTTTTCATTACCCTTCCATTCCCCAGCACAACTCTATGTGATGTTATGTCCTAGAAAATACTCCTTCCATTCATCTGAACATTTATTCTCTTGTTTGGGAGTTTTCAGTGGATACTGTGCTCTTGTCAAATGCATCTTATAGATAATAAACCTGTACTGTTCACACACTTCTCAGTTTTCTGGGAACAAAGAATGTTCAACAAAAATGTTAGTTCATCTCAATCGCTCCCATCTGATCCCAATATCACCTAAATCAAGAAAGATCTCATTAACCTGGAATTATCAGAACTTCCACATTTTGATGTTTTACATTATGTTATTTGGCATCATGAGGCCTTATCATCATCTTCTGACATCATCCTCTTTATGGTTTTGGCTAGCACAAAAACTACCCTGCCAGTGCTTCATTCCACTTAATCTATAAAGTACTACCCAACATCAAGGAACTAATCAGAGATAGACACAAATGTTTTTTTTTCTAGCATAAGCTGTTTTCCATTAAAAGTTACCTGATACTTTCCACTTTACTTTCACTTAAGAGTCTCATCTGAAGGATCCTGTCCAAACCTTTTTGAAAAAGCCAATTTATCCCACCAGCTCTTCGAAGTAGTTTTTCATTAACTTCCCAAGTTGTTCTTTTGGCTAAAAAGACATAACATATGCTAATATGTCCTCACCTCATTGCACTGAATCAGTTTAAAAAAAAAATCTATTACAGTATGGATCATTCTGCAAAGTGATTAATGGTTTTTGTTCTAAAGTTCAACGACTGCTGTAGTTTGTGTGATGGAATATCATCTTACCTCCCAGAGTCGAAGAATATCTTGAAAGCTAAATTCCCTTTTAAATCTGATAAGAAGCCATCGGAAGCAAAAATAAAGGTAGCCCGAGTCTTGAGATTCTAGGAATAAGAGTGTTACATTTCATCATCACCAAATTTGGTTAAGACAACAAGGGGGGAGGTGGGGGAAACCAACACACTTTACAGGTACACAATCATACCACTGATTTTTAAGATGGTAGCCCCTTTCAGAATCAAAGATATTTCCCAGAGGATGGCATATTTTTAAAATCAGCAACAAAATGACCCTGTTTTTCAATAGGCATGGAGCAATTACTGAAATCTTTTAGGCATTATTGATTTACAAATCCTGTATTCATATATTACTATTGGAATAGTGTTTGAAGACTGGTAAGGATATCAATGCACACAAAACACAGTAAGTTGTTTTAGTTATGGTGCATGAATAATACACCTACCTAAATAACTGCAAAATCCACTGTCTAGTAAACGAAGCAAAGTACTCAGTTGAATTAGTTGTGTCTTCATACCCTGCATCTGTTCTTCAAAATTCTGATGCTGGATGGAATAAAATATTAGCACTGTCATTTTTATTAACTCAATGATAATTTTGAGATTTACAGCTATTTTTAATTTAAAATAAAAAGGTTTGTTATTGCAACAGTGGTTCTCATCCTTTAGGTATGAAACATATGGATATTTAACTGTACTTGTATCTAATGGAATGTCTGCCTTTTACTGAAAGGTTTAACTAAAGCAGTGAACTATGTTTCTTCGATAACATTTTTGCATGTAATAAATAATATTTTAAATCAGCCTATGCTCTGTACCTCCAAGCAGCACCACTATGCTCAAACCAAAAAGACAGTATTTTTTTATTGTCATACCAGTCACGTATTGTTTCGCCACATGCACAACTCATAAAAGCTTCAGTTTGTGGAAAGTCTAAATTGCATTTAACAAATGCCAAAAGGTAAGTATGACAGGGAACCATTATCCTGAACAAAATCCTGCTAGACGACTCCTGATTAATACAAATTTGGCTGTGATGGCTCTGAGTTACTTCAGAATTTCCAAGAGGCCAAATTTGTCTGTATTGCACAGTAATAGTACCACAAACACACCACAACCTGTGTCAATCAGAAAAAACATCGACTCCAAACATGATTGCTCTAAAAGAATTCAAAAAACCCAATGAAATTTGTAAAATAAAATTAACCCCAAATGTTATCCACAGCTTATCTGTTTATGTGGGCTAAAACCGCCTTATTTTACCATTTGATCCATGTATGATACAAAGCACCAAAAGGCATCTACTTCATTCTCCATAACATACAAGACAGGTGAAAGCAAGTCGCTCATGCCCTGGACATAACCTTGATGGAGAAAAAAGGAGGGAAAAAAAGGCAAATAGGAATTTAGTTAAACTCAGCAGTTAAACAGTAATTCTTCAAGTGTGCTGCATGATTGAGTGAAATGAATGTTTGCATTCCAAGTTTGTACAGGTACTATAATTTTCCAACTCAACCACCAGTAAAGACTTTATTAATAATAACCAACATCGAGCAGATCTAACAAGATTTAGCAGCGATTTCTGCCAATCTAAAGACAACGTAAAACAAACACATTGTTTTTGTAGTTGTTAAAATACATAAACTGAACTGACACTAGAAGAGATTTTTAGTAAAAAATGTTCCCATTTAGAGCTCAGAAGCATATATTGCTGGTTTTTAGAAGATTAAGTATATACCTTGCACCATCACAAATACAGACACTCATATTTATTCTCCTCTCCATCTATAATTTGTTGCTTTCTTTCATACATTTACTTTTTTTTATATCTTCTCACTTTTTAGCCCTCCAACTGAAGATTTTCTTTTCAAATATTTCAAAGATTTGAAGAGACGTTGAGTTTCAATCACAGGAAAACATGTGGTACAATAGCTTTTATGAAGAAAGTTTCACACTTAACATTTCTTTTTCCTGGCACTGAATATGCTTTAAGGATTCCTGTATTTAGGGAAATAGGAACTGTTCTGCTTGGATGGTGTTTTAAATACACCAAAGCCTAAGACCATCTACGTAACCAAGCAGCCAAAACCAAAAAAGACTACTAGCTATCAAACTGAGGAAGGGATTATTAGCAAAGTACTGCTTGTGAGAAGCATGAAAGTAACACATATCCAGACCTGATTCAAGGGAGTGCCTTTAGGTTTCCGTGCCCAGGAACAGTGAATCAAGTTCACATGCCCTAAAAAGCACTCACATGCCTTATAGGAAAAGCCTACATTTAACTGGAGAATAAAATGCCCATTTTAAAGCATATAATTTTTACAAAGAGCTAGAAAATTTTAGTTGTATACAAAACATTTTCAAAATTTTGTAGCTTTTTAATGCTGCTTCCAGCTTCCTTGTTTGAAATTAACAGCCCAGTTAAGCAGAGTAGAGGACAAGGATTTTTAGAGCTCATTTTTCCCCCCTCTTCCCCACTCTTCCAACTACCTTACCAGTGATGCTCTAGTCAGCTTATCTACTGCCTTATTGCTGCTGACCTCCCTAGGTAAGGGAGAATATGATTTACGTGTACATCTATCATCAGTGGTTGGTTCAACATGACATTTCTCAGACTCAAGTTTGGCTGATTCCATTTCTTATCAATGTAATTATAAATTAATAACTGAAAAGAGGATTGGAGTCGATGACTGTGAAAATATGGAGCAGGTGTGAGAAGAAAAATAGAACAAGGAACGGAAAACAGGTAAATAAATAGCAGGTCAAAAGAAAAAAGGTTTATTGCCTACACATTCAATACTATAGCCAACTAAAAATAAATGCAGAGAAAATTCTGTTTGAAACAATTTAAAAGTCTCTTAAAGACTAAAACCATTTTCATTAATGCAGACTTGAGGAATTCATTCAGAGAAATGTTGTATTAACAGCTGTTCTGTCCCCTCCCTTATCTGGCAGTCTGTGGCATTATTCAGACCTCTCTACTGTCGAAGGATTAAGAGCAGCATTGTACCAGTGCTTGAGTAGCTTAGAAGCCTTGGACAAATACAACGTCAAATGTACTATATTTCCATTATTCTTGCTTGTTTGTAAGACAGAAGACTCATCCACTGCACACACTTAAGCCATCTAAACAATGTTTTTAATAGAGTGGGTGGTCAATGTGCTTTAATTTCACTTATATGTCACTGCATGTTAATGCAGGCTGAAATGTGGAAAGACATGTGGAACCAAGCTACGTGTTTAAACAGTCTCAATCAGTTTTAGTTTTCCCCTTCTTTTTCAAGCCAAAGATCAAGTCTCTCTATAGATTTGACAGAAAGGACAAAAGCTGACAAGTACTACCACTGCAGCAAGTTTACTAGCAATTAAAGATTTGTTCCTACTTTTTGCCTTCAAAATTTGGCACAAAGCAGGCTTTTAGAACCCTAACACTTTTCTGAGACAAAGTACCAAAAAGTGCCCCAAGCCAAATGTCATGCCAGGGGTGGAGGGGTGAACCAGCTAAAAGTATCTTTCCCCTTCCTCTCTTCCAAGACAATCAACAGAAGCCAAGACTTAGACATCTTGTATACACTGTGATTAAAGCAAGACATTATACACTCTTCCTTCTGCAACAGATGCATACACTAAAGTGTAATTTTTGACAGACTGTTAAGTGTACTCCTCAAGAACCAGCGTTTAAAGTATTCATAAGAACACACGTGTTTACAAACAGCTGGTTCAGCATGCTGAGCTTTAATTACAGCAGTGGCAGCTGGTTTATCATTTTTATTGATGTATCAGTCTTAAAAATGGATATAACACTCATGCTCCAAAGACCCAAACCCATTTAAAAATCTGAAAAGCAAACTCGCTTCAATTGAAAACACCAATAGTAGGGCTAAGGTGAAGACAAACCACCACTTAATTCCTAATCCCACCTCAACTGATGAATTCAGATGCCTGTGATAAGCGTCAGATAGAAAAGAGGAAGAAGCAGTATGAGAAACTGAACAAAGTTATCTATATTACTAAAATATGAATCTTGATATTTACAAAAAGCATTGTAATCAATACAAGTCCAATTGTATTAACAGGCCTTGACATAAGCAAAGCCGCATATCAGAAACTAAAAAGGCTTTTACATTCAGAGGAACACAACTTACCTAAGTCAAAGTCATACATGCAATAGGTCATCAAAATATCATGAAGTACAATCAATCCTGGATTATCTTCACCTTCATAGAATTTATTTGTTCGATCTGTCCTGTTTACATCTTTTTCTAAGAAAACAATCCAGATTTAAAAACATTTTCACAACAAGTTCTACAAAGCCAGCATCAAATTAATTCACAATGTTTTTAAGCTGCTGATTTTTTTCCTCCAACACTGTTGCAAAGCTTTGAAGTGCTTAAGACAACTGCATAACAGAATGTCATTTCAAAATAAAGAATATTTTGAAAGAAAGAAAATCCTTCCTGTCTGGAATAAAAGGATTTGCTTATAAACAGATTTTAAAGCTTTTTGGGTTTTTTTGTTAATACTTGTTATGAAAAAATTCCTGATTATAATTCAGTGAAAATATTCTACAGTTACAGGGATTAAGAACAATTTTATGTGACTTAGCTATGCAATGCCATTTATGAGTTCTTATGCAATGCAGCATAAGCCATAGTAGGAAAGTTACCACATGATCAGCTCAACAACACTGTGATAGTTCATGACAACAGATTTATAAATTCTGTTTCTCAAGTTCCTATAACTCAGTGAGCTGAAACTGCCTGTTTCATCAGCCAGTTTTCATGCCTCAAACATACCAAGCATACAGTATACTCTTTAATAATGTGAAATTAAAGACTCTTGAAATAAGCAAAATTTTGAGTGCACTTTAATAAAAGGAGTATTTTGTAATTTTGGATCTATTTTACAACACAAGCCTAATGTTATAATTTACATTTCAAACACTCAAAAAGGAACAGAACTGCTTCAACGGAAACAAAACTTCAGCCTTTTTTGAACTCTGAATATTTTTTTCCTAACACACATACTCTCTAAAAAGGTAGTTTACTAATCACTAATCTACTAAGACTTTCTCAACACCTTCAGCTTGTCTGTTGAATAACTGGCTGAGACAAGGTTAGTCCATGTCTCAGAATAACATAAAAATCTTGTCTCCTGAAATAACTGTTTAGTAATCCTAAACACCGGTGCCCAAATCTCACTACCAAAGAGAACTAAGGATACAATTTGCTAATAATCAGCAGAACTTGATGAAATTTTAAGTAGTAGGTATAAAATCCCACAAGTCAGAATGCACATATACAAATCCCTGTGAAAAATTTTAAAATAGACACATTTTCACATTCTTATTGTATGTCATTATTTTAATGACTTTCCCAGTAAAATTACATCATGAAATAACACAAAATAAAGACCCTTTTGTTATTAAGTAAAGGAAGTTTAAAAATCCAGCTGTTCTGTAAAGCTCTGAATTACTTAATACTAAAACTTAACCAGAGTATATAAAAAAGTTTAGACAGCTCTGAAAATAGCAACATGTTAGTTTTTAGTGTCTCTTCCTACAGATTACTCAAAGGGTTACATTTTTTCAACTTCACATTGAATTGTAAAAAGTGTGTGAATCTGTACAGTTAGGTATGTTTCTAAATCTAAATTTACCTATAAGACTCCGGTAATCTCTTAATCTTGAATTTCGTTTTTCCTGTTCCTCACTGACAGATTTCCACTGCAGTTTCATCCTGAAATATTCATCCCTGGAGAAGAAAGATAATTTTGAAACCAAAACATACTCAATTATTACATTTATTTTTTATTTTTTATTTAAGCATTCATTCATTCCATTTGTTCTTTGGCATAAATGGGATAACACTGTGTTTATAAAATACTTTCACTTTAGCGCAACAATCATTTTTAAGAAAGTCTCACACTCTTCTTTGCATTCAACAATCTTCAGCAGCTGCCTTTCAAGTTTCCAAAAAGCCTTCTACCTCACTATATGCTATAAGAAAAAAAGCAGCTTTTGAATTTATTTTGTAACACTGTACTCACGTTTTCCTTTTCTGCAGATTTGCTCTCTCTTCTTTAGTGCTATTCCAGGGAAAATACCCCAAAAGAAATTTCCATGCCTCTCTTCTTAAAGTATGGCAGAGACCCTAGGGAAAAATGGATATGAAACATTAACAAAAAGACGATTTTGTGAGGAAATGTTCCTATAGCGATACAATACTTCTTAAAGTAACAACTTAAAAAGAGAATATTTATAAGTAAGCTGCTTTTTACATTGTAGCCAAATCTTATCTGCTAACTAGGTATCACACTTGGAGGAAATGGGAGGAAGAGAATATGATTAAGCAGAAAACTGTAGAAGCACTGGATTCATCCTTAGAAGATAAAAAAAACAAACTTTACAGAAGATATTTCTTCCTATATTTTTCCTTCACTGCTGGAAATAAAAACCTTATGGGTATCACAGACTTTAAGAAGCAAAAAAAGTACCTTTAAAATTTAAGTATTTAAACATGATGCTGCTTAACTGTCAAAATCCTGGTCTCCCCACAAACTGATCTTGAGGACTAGACTTATATTTCTTTATTTTTTTAAACAAGTATCATCTAACAAGACATGGCCAACATGCAGATGAATGTTCACTCAAGGACACTATTTGTCAGAAATCTTTCCAAGTAACAGTCATCATTTGTAGATGACAAAAACGTACTAGCTGAATTATATCCTACTCTTATCAAAAGAGTTTCTTTCAACTCCTGCAATACAGTCAGGAGAATGAGGCACTTCTGCTATCTCTCTCCCCAGTTTACCAGTCCAAGGCCAGCTTGATTCCTCACTGTATTTCTTAATTTACCATTAGATTAAGGCAAGGAAGATGGTGCAGCAAATAACATCAACTACTGCAAAATCAAGTAGCAACTGGAACTTTTCCAGGAACAGGTAAACGGTTTAAGAGAGGCATTTTAACTTTTTTCTTTTTTTTTTTTTTCCTCCTTTTCCTTTAAAGAGAATCTGCACTTAATGTACTGGAAGTTATTGGGATCTTGAGTCATAAATAAAATGGAGCACTCACTCCTCTTGCAATGGACAGAGATGACAGGGAACAGGGCTACTGGAAGAAAAGGTTTGTAGTAATTCTCATGATTGCAGAAGAGTTCTTAATTGGGCAGCTCAGGCACAGGTATACTAAAGAAAAGTCACAAAGTGAAAAAGGCCTCAGTTTCACTCTACCCCCTTCACAGTACATTATTTAATATGCATAGGTCTTTAAAAAAAAAAAAAGTAGTATCTATGTTATCATTCTCTACTTCTGCTCAAACTCCAAGAATGCAAGACTGCATGCTTGGAAACATGCATCAACAGCTGCACAAAGAATGCATTAAGACAGCTGGATTCCCATCAAAAGAGAAATACTAAAGTAACATTAGGTAGAATAGCTATGGGACATAACTAAAGTTTTCAAAATTTCCACCACTGAGACTGAATTCACATTCATATTGCAAAAATCCTCAGTTCAATAATAAGGACTGGCAAAAGTGTTTAGGACTGCTCATATGAAAAGGGCCAAATCCAGGCAAACTGCTGGGCAAAGAAGAGAAGCTTTTGTTGGAGAAGGAAAAGAAAAGAATAAACCCAATATCCTAACAAACAAAGCACTGGTGTTTTCCTGAAAGGCACTTTGATTTCTGTTCTTTATCACTTAAGCCTTGTGTTTTCAACTCATTCACTTTAGCCAGCCACCACAAGATCTCTCTCCTTGTAGAGCACTTTGTATGGTTGCAAGACTGTTGAGGTATTTGATTAGCACGAAATCATGCTTTAGGAAGTCTCTCCAACAAAACTGACTGGCTCATGCTCAGAGTCCTGCACGAAGCATTACAAGTGTAATAAAAACAGCATAACTATGGTTTGGGAAGGAAAGAGAAAGGGGCCAGAAGCAAGCCATAGCTCTTGCTGACTTTAGAAAAACACGTTACCCCTTTGAATATCAATTGCTTTATGTAGTCGACATCTAAAATTCTTCCTTCAGAATCCATATTCTTAGCCCATTCTTCAGCTGACACAGGCTCTCTTCTACTAACTTCAGGCTGTTTTCCTAGATCAATCTGAAACACATGCAAATATGTTATACGAATCCCACTGAAGTGCTTCAGTAGTTTTAAACAACTGCACAAATGGTATTAAGCTTGCCAGTTTCTTATATTCAGTGCAACTACATTCTCACATGTGCATACCCTCAGTTATCAACTCTAAGGATCTAAGGCTGTGTCCACATTAGCAAGTAGTGTGGACCAACACAGGCAGATCTTTAGAGAAAGACACTCTGTGCTGAGGACCTGGGTATACATGTTAATATTTCAGATTCTGGGGGAGAATCTATGTGTATGTTTCAGATAACCTTCTACCCACCAAACACCTCTGAACTAGCTTCCCATGGACTAAAAGCCTCTATGCAACTGAAAATGTGTTAGATATGTGCAACACAGCAAACAAGGACAATAGGGAGCTTCACTTCAAAAGTACATTCCTGATACACACTACTGCATCTTGAGAGAACTGGAAAACTACTCTGGTTCAGAGATGTTATGCCCACATAGACTGCACAGTGTGACTGAAAGATCAAGTACACCACCCCTTAAAAAAAAAAAAACAAACCAAGACTGTTATGTGCTTTCAGAACTCCTACCATCCACCAAAGTTTCACAGTTTGTGGTTAGTCGTCTGAGTTCCCAAATTGCATATTTAAGCAGAGCAGAATTCAGCAGACAGTAATTCCTTACTTTCTAAAAATATTTTGATGATGGCAACCACCAAGTCAATTTGTGTTTCAACTCTTTAGAGGTCTAAGGCATTTGTCAGATTAAGACATGTAAGTCAGAATTATTTTTAATATGTAGCACTCATTATACTTTTTCTCATTGACAAATTAACTAAGTGCTAGGCAGCAAGTTCTTAGAATTGCATAGTTCACACAGCTATTGCTAAGTTATTAACATTATTTTGAACTCAAGAAAAAAACCAACATTAAACCAGTTTAACACACTAAAAACATGTGAGCAGCTTAAATAGTAATCACAAGCATTTAAAAATAAACATTTTTCTACCGATCTGTAAAAGACACCAACAGGAGGCCACACAAATTACAACTTCATTCTAGCTTTGGTTCAAGTCATAAACCTATACATTTATACACCCTAGACATTAATCATCCAATTAAATACTTTGTTTTAATCTCCTTAGCCCTTTTAAAACAAACTCAAGTGTTAAAGTGATTAGCCAATAAAGTTGGTTATTAACCTGTATACTCCAATTTTACTTAACATAGCTCTATCTGACCACAGAGGAAACACTAAACGTGAAATGGGTCACTTTTCAGGGTAGTGACTCGAAGACAACAATAATCCTCATTTCAGTAGTGACAAACTTTCTTTCAAAGCAACTCATATTTGCAGGCATAAAAATGACATATTCTAGAATTAGCTGATAATGATCTTAATCCTGTGAATAAATGGTAGGGCAGCACAGCCCACAACTGCCAAGCATAAACAGTATAACTCACCAAGCTTCAAGTCCTACCATTCCTTTAAAGATGTGCATAAAAAGAATCAATGCATCTGTATCATATTCATTTACACACTCACTCGCGTAATGACTTCAAACCCCGGTTCTTCCTGCTGATTTATCTTTAGCCCTGGAATAGCATCATTGAGGAAGTCTGCCATCTCTGATGGTGGTCGCCTTTGACTTGAAGGGTCACTTAAACGGAAACTGTCAAAAATATAGTTTGTGACTTTGGAAAATCTTCCCATTGTTACTGTGTATGGATCTTTCTTCAATTTCTGTGTTACAACAAGGAAAACAAAATACAAAAAGCCTCAGATTATTTTGAATTCTTGCACTCAAAGAAAGCAAAACAACAGAAGAGTATTGTAGGTCTCAGTTATTTAAGTTTCATGTACCAGTAGCTTCATACAGTATATTCATCTTTTTAATCATGTAATATCTTAAGCGTTAAGATAATACTACTGATTGATTTGGAAGACTGGATAGCAGCATGCTCAGTAAGCCTGACCTACGTATAAATGTGGATCAGATCTACTGTTTACTTTCCAGTGATTAACGCCACAAAACATCTTCCTTAGGCCTACCTTCTCTACCTTCACAGAGAAGACATCTTGAATCATCATGTACTCTGCTAGGAATCTCACACAAAACTTGATTTGACAACTAAGTCCAGTAACTCATGAAGATTTTCTTTAATTAAACAAATCAGTGGGTCAAAACTCTGGCCTCATTCAAGTCAATGGAAATTTAGCTGCTGACTTTCACAAGTCCACAAACCCCACCAAATGATAAGCAGTTTTAACATTAAAAAAAACCTCTTTTAGGCAATATTGTGCTCTTTTGCTGCTGTATTTCTAGCATCCCTTCAAAACTGTCAGAAAACTTCAAGAAAAAGAATATTTAGTCAAGGAAAATTTAGAAAGTTCTAATTAATACGTTTTGGTGACTCCTAAATTTTTTTCTTTCTTCTCCTTTCTAAAACTATCTGTACCCAAATGTATAGAATCACAGACAACACTAACTTGAATAGGTTTGAAATAGTATCACAGGGAAGTCAAGAAATTATCAGAATACAGAAAACAACTTATAAGCAAGTGTACTTTCTATAGTAAGCAATTGTTTTAGGATACAATCAATGCTTCTATAATGGCAGTGATTCAGGGAATATTTGTGTGACATGGTATGGTGGGATTTTTTTAATAAATGTCTTCAGAATAAAAAATTCAAAGATAATACATACCTGTAATAAGCCATATGATGGTTCATCAAAGAGATTTTCAAAAGACTGAGACAGAGACTTGTTCTGAGAATTCACAAGAAGAATCCGTTTATCCTGTGGAGATCTGCAATAAAATTAAAAAAGGGTTTCTTTAAGTACCACCAGTTTTTCCTGAAAATGTTTTTAGAACATTTACTGTTTTTTGAAGTCACATTTCAGGTTTTGTGCAAAGAAAGCAGGTTTGATGCAAGATCACTCTTATTTCTTGGCAAAAGTTCACAAAGTAACACACAACAAAACAGGACTTTCATTTTTCACAAGATTAGCCATCATCATATTCATTCCGAATTGTACTCTTTCATTCTTTGAAAAAATAATGACACTTTTGCGAAATTTTTGAGAAATTACTCTGGAAGATAACTTTTGTCACCCACATGTAAACAAAGTTTTCTTCAACTATAGTTTTCTATATTTAACAATGGACAAAAAAAAAAGAGGTGACACAGGAAATTTAGTGAGACACTATCAGCCTCAACACATATATGCTGAAACTCCTTTAATGTAACAGAGGACATGAAAAGAACCCATTTCACCATATACAGTTAAGGAATTATTTCTACCAGTTAGTAAATCTTACATTAAGGCACCCTGTAAAACATTACATAAAGGAATACAAACTGCTTTTCAATGTATGAAAGCACATCAACAAATATCTAACCAACAGTATTGCAACAGCTACTGTGAGAATAACTCTAACACTCATGCTGATCAGAGTTAAAAACCACCACAGCCATTGTAATGTGAAACAGAACCATCTCAGTACAGCCCTGCAAATGTGTTTCTGTGTAGATTCCAAAAGCTAAATGAACACAAACCTGATCTGGCCTAACTCATTGTATTTGTACACTCTGGTTCTTCAATATAACATTTGCTTCCCTGACAGGCTTGCACAGGCAGATGAAAATGGTAACAACAAAGACAGTGGAACCATGCTGCTCGTAGTATTTAATCTGTTCTTTTACTCTCACCCCCACACACAACATGCCATCTTCTGCCCTCCTCTGGCACAGATACCCCATCAATTCCTTAACCAGCTCCTGAATCACCAATTTTCAGCTCAGTATGTGACAGAAGAGAGAACAGCTCAGAAGCCAGGCTGACATTCAAGCCTCAGAGTTGGTAGCCAGGCAGAAGAAAGCTAAGCACCTGGCCATCTGACTCTAATCCATCACACAGACTTACATTTATAAAATACCTCTCTATTGCTTTCTCCCAAAGTTTAAATCCACTATTTCTATCTTTGAAAGAAAAATTACTTTTAGTTTTATTAGTACCTGCATCATCTACCATGTTATTAAAGTCAAAGATAAGAACTTTAATAAGCCTTATCTCTCTCCCATTACAACAGGACAGGACACTGTTAACACTGACGGATATGAAATGCAACAAGAGATCTCATTTTGAGACAGCCAGACACCACAGTCATAGTTCTGAGGCAGCAACGGTTCATGAAGCTCAACTGGCTTCTGCTAAAAAGCAACACAGGGGCAAAGGCTGAGTCATGTATTATGTTTTCCTTCACTAAAAGAACAAAAACTTTGCACCATATCTCCATTTTAATTAAACATTCTCTCTGGACAGCCAGTAGGGTATCAACAGTTGGGTTCAAAACAAATTTGTGAGCTAGACATTTTATTAAACACTTATTCATAATACTGCAAGTTAGAAAGTGTCATCCATGCATACAGTGTTTTCTCCATATTAGACTGGTATCACCAAACTAGGAAGCACATAATCTTTAAAGCAACAAATTACAAATATTTTGTTCAAGTTTAGTCACTGCACACACACTGATTTCAGCAGTGACATGACATTTATAAGGAATGGTGTTAGAGAAGGGCAAAAACTTTTGAAGTAATAGGAACAGAAGAAGAAAACACCTATGACAAAGATATGTTACAGAAAAGCTAAACTTCCTGCCTTATCATCAGTATTCCATATATTATAAGCTAGAGGTTGGTATAACAAGTTCCAATGCTTAACAACCCTTTCCATGAAGAAATTTTTCCTAATATCCAATCT